CACAAGCAGCATGTTGAAAAAGTTTTTAACTGCTGGAAACATCCTTACATGCACATGAGTCGGTGAGCCAACAGAACGTTAAGACGCAGTTTGTCTGCAAGCAAGTAAACTGTGCATATAGTTTGGGTCACGGGAAGAATTGTCTGGAAATATTTTACATATTGATGTGTTAGGAGTTCTAAATAGAGCAAAGTTTACTCTTCTGGGTTTTTTCGCTGTTGTGGGGAGGCGTGAGATGCCTCTGGTGGAGGTAACCAGGGCTTGATAAAAGTGTGATTGTGGAGCGTGTTTGAGAGCTTAGAGACGGAGAAATTAATCAGCTGGTTTTGCAGACCAGAAAAGGCGTGATCTTTTGGTGCAAGCTCGAAGTGTGAAAGCATTCTGGACTGCAACCAATTTGAGGTTTCACATCATTTCCTCTATGAAGTGCCTTTAAATTTATCATCAGTGTTAGTCCAAATGTTTGGTGCCCCAGGCAGGAAAATGGTTTTGTGACCACAAAATGTGAATGTACCACAGTAAGAAAAGTTAAATTATGTCAATAAATATGTTTTATTGACATTTACTGGCCCTGAAACTTTAATCTTCGTAAGATAGCTTTTATTAAACGATGCTGTTATTCGCAATAGGAAATTTAAGATAAATAAATAGACCCAGGTAAGAGGGACAGTGAAAAAAAGACATTTTTTCTATTTAAAAGAAAAAAATGATGAAAAAAATAAGCGGAGGGTCACATTTTGATTACACTTGAAAAGACGACAGCCAAATCAAATTTATTTACAGAGTACATGTCATATGATAGTCGTAGACTCAATGTGCTTGGAAGGATATGTAAGAATGAAATAAAAGCCACCAATGAAACAATAAAAACACCAATTCCACCAAATTACAAGTAGGAACATAGAGATTTAAAATCCTATAAAATCAGGAAATGAAAGATGTAAAAACAGGCTAATGACCGGGACAATAACATTTTATGAAGCCGAATACATAAACCGAAGTAAAAGCTTGAGAGAATAAGCATGTGTTGAGTTTGCTTTCAAAGGTACACAGGGTAGAAACTGATATGAGCTCAAAGAACAAGAGCTGATAGAATAAGAATATATTTGAAGGTGTCAGGGAGATATTCAATAAGCTTCTCAGCAACACAGGAAGGAGCCAGGGTGTTTAAAACTTTAAAAACAATCAATAAAATGTAGATTGTGATATATTCTGGATATATCACAATATCCATGATATATAAGATGAAGACGAGCCAAAATTACAGCTCAGTTTTAACATGCTTACAGGGTTTAATAACAAACAGAGGATTCAAACGAGGTTAAGTGAGATCTTGTAGATGATCAGAACCTACAAGAAGAATTTCAGTTTTGTCCATATTCAAGGAGATTATTAACAGTTAAAAGTAACATTTCTGGCTATTTGGGCATCAAGAAGATGCAAACTACCAATAGCACTGGCCCTGATATTGAGAAATGAGATATTTTTGAGCTTTTTAAAAACAACGATCAACTTATATTTGACCTGGTGTCATGACGATCAAGAAACGGGACACAAACGTCTCCTGGATTTTATGGAGTTTCGTCGATTTTGAAAAGAGCTAATGAGGTATTTTATAAGTGCAGTTTGTTTGTCTGTCCCAGCTTTTTTTTTTAATTGTCAAGCTGAATTTTATTAAAAATAAAGTCAGTGCAGAGGCGTAGAGTCTGAGTAATCGCTGTTTTTAGATTGTGAAGTGGCAAACCTAGCAGAGGAGTGTGTGTATGGGGTTGTATAAACATTAAAGTTGGTGCTTTACCCGATAAGCTATCGAAAGTCGCCGCACCTCTGTGAACAGACGGCCTCAGAGTTTCTCACTTAAAGCTGTGGTTCAGAAGCAGTGCTTTCCAAAACTATCTATAACCTTTGAACCTTTTCACATTACAGTAATAAGCTTCACTGTACTTGACTGCAATTTTAGAGAAGAAACCAAGAACAGAGTTGCGCATAATTGTGAAGTGGGAAAAAGACTCGTAGACTCGCAGATTTTTCAACAAGAAAAATTAAGAAACATTAGTTGTGCTTTTGGATTCGGCCCACATTAGTCTAATACCCTAAAATGAAACCAAGAACAATTGACACGTTACCTAATTAGTAAGTAGATGCACCTATGTGTGATCAGCACCATGAAGACCAAAGCAGTTAAATTAAGACACCTCTTAAGAGTTAATTAAGAAGGGAAGTGGTAACTGGTATTATCCCTCCCCATTTTTGTATTATTTTCTTTATATTGTTCAATCAATCAATTAATTGATTGATTTATATTGTTAAGTTTATAAAAAGTATTTTATAAAGTTATTATTTTTGGCTGTTCAGACAGTAAGATGTGGCCAATTCTCCTTCAGCTGCAATTGGGTACATGTACGTACATTTACATACATGTAAATGTACCTAATGTACATACATTGAGTACATTGATGTTATTCAAAGCATTGAGTAACATCAATGCACATCATGTGCATGTATGTTAGTCAAACGTACGTCAATGCACACTGTCCCATTTGAGTACCTAACAGGGACAGAAGGTGATGGCAGCCTCATGCTGATGCTGTGAGGATGGAATTTGTGACCAGGAAAAAAAATTTAAAAAATTGATAGATGGAGCTAAATCTTGGCCAAACTGGATAAAATCCCAATAGAGTTTAATACTCAGCATTAAACTGAGTATTTAATGCTTCCAATCTTACTGAGCTTAACCTATTTTGTAAAGAAGATGATGTGGGGCTCGTGACATCAAGACATGCACTGGTGGAGGGAGACAGCTGGGTAGAGATGACCCTCTCAGTATGTGGCGTGTCTACACTATCATTGAACAATGCAGGAGCACATCACACTTTTCAGATCTTTTATGCAAAAAAAACTCCCTTTGAGACCATGTGTCTTTTTCTGCTGACTTAATAATGCCTGCGCTACTGAGTGCTGTCACCAAAACATTCACATAAAACTAGTTTATGGTTTCAACGTGACATAATTAGAGGTTACATGGTAGGGATAATGTTGCGAGGTTCTTCATACTTATAACAAGTAATCTGCAACTCATGGTCAAAAATCTTACGCAGTCTTTGTGTTTTCACCAAAAGCTGAAAAAGGAAGAAGACAAACAGTTCTGACCTCATAATGTTTACCTCTAAGTTTGCCACTTCCTTAGTGGGAACAGTGACGCCACTGATTTTGTACTTGTTCCCATGGCAGGACGTGTGTGTTTTTCAACGAGACAGGTGTATTTCCGAGCTAACTTTTTATTTTAAAGCAGAACTTAACCCTCTGATGCGTAAGTGGGTCTTTTTTGACCGGGTGAGGTAATTTATTTTGCAATATTTTTGACAAGAAAAATTTTCATCACTTCATATTCCGGGTATTCCTCAAAAACATGTTACTAATATCATGCGATTCAAATTTTCAAATGACCTTTTACACATTTTAAGAAATAGAATTTTTTTTTCTATCACTACCCCATTCTTCTGTGAGTGGGTCAGAAATGACCCGCATTCATTTCCTATGGAATTTAATGAGAATCTTTCTGTCTTACCAACTGTGACTGACAGAAAAACTTTTTTTAACCATACACAGAGTCCTAAGTGTCACCCATTATTAATATTTTACACTCTATTACATGTAAGTATGATCTTTATGTTTTACCTCACAAATGTGTGTCAATCATCAGGACTGTGACAGTGTTATTGTCATGAATCAACATATTAGCCTTCTTTGAATTTAACCAACACTAGTTATCTAACCAGACTAGCTAAAATTACTGCCTATATTTTATTGTGCATGTTTATTATTTGTGTGTAAGTGTGTGTGAGTGTCTGTGTGTGTCTGACACCCCGGATGAGAAACCAAAAGAGAGAGAGAGAGTGTTCAATGACATGCAAAACTTGTTGATCAACGTGATCAAGGTTCTTTCTTTTATCATCTCAATAAATAAAATAAAAATTCATAGCTATATAAATAAATGCATAAATAGATGAGCCACAGATCTTGGCTGGGAACAATAAAATGTAAGACGTCATTGTAAGCTTCAGTTCATCTTTCTGTGTGGACTGATGGGTAATGTTTGCCTGAAGCTAAATAAATGATTGTTTCTCTCTGACTGCACAACATGAGACCTTCTGACTGCATCGGGTCACTGAGAGGTTCCCTCATGGTAAAGTCCAAAGAAGTTCAAGGTTTCAGAGAAAAAGGAATCAGAACTGATGATGTCAGAAACATCTGTCTAACATTTCACCATGTAGATCAGAAGGAAAGAGTCTGATCTAAAGAATCGAGTGCCTTCTCCAGATTGGGGAGGATGTCCTGCCCCAATTGGAGGAGCTTAAGTATCTTGGAATGTTGTTCACGAATGAGGGAAAAATGGAGGAGAACGACAGGCAGATTGGTGCAGTGTCTGCAGTGAAGTAGGTGCTGTAGCGGTCTGTTGTGAAGAGAGAGCTGGCCGGTCAATCTACTTTCCTACCCTTCTTCTATGGTCATGAGCTTTGGATCATGACCGAAAGAACAAGGTCACAGATACTAGTGACCGAAATGAGTTTTCCCCATAGGATGTGAGGGCTCTCCCTTAGAGAGTAGCTCAGGCATCCAGGAGGGACTCAGACCAGAGCCGCTGCTCCTTCAGATCGAGAGGAGCCAGTTGTGGTGGCTCAGGCATCTGGTTAGGACGCCTCCTGGACGCCTAGCATAGCAGAAAGTATTATATAAAACATTATTTTGAGTCAAAAGGACAAAAGTAGCATAAAAACACATGTCACAAAAGATCCACTCACGGAGGACTGTATGGTCAGTCACACATCAGAGGGGTAAACAAAAAGTTCACTGTAAAAAAGATTTTAATTCTAATTAACGGTAAAATATCGGCAGCTGTGGTTGCCGATATTTTACCGTATAATTACGGTAAAAATATTTTACCGTAATATAATAAATAAATAAATAAATAAATTTCTGTATCTACCTGCCTCCTCCAGGTTCCCGAAACGACAAATCTGACTGATGCTGCTGATCCAGCCGTTCATCTCCTCCTCCGTGTTGGCCACCAGGTAAAAAACGCGGGAAGCCGTTTTCACCACGAAGAGGTGCTTCCCGTGAAAGTCCCGCTTTATCCGCAGCTGGCTGTTGAGCATCTCCACCTCGCATTCCTTCAGGTCGATGGTTCGGATCGGCTTCTTGGAGTTCTTGCTCTGGTAGTATTCCAGCACATCCGGGTTGCCGCACATTCGCCCCGACCGGAGCACGAACCAGCGCTTCCGCCACGCCTGCAGGTAGAAGGGAAAGGACATTTTATATTTCGATTTTGTTTATTATTAGTTGATTTACAATTTCATTTTAGAGTTAATTTGCAGGTTTAACGCATACGACTTCTTTTTGTTGGATCTACGTGACTCTTTGGGATGTCGTAAACTGTCGTAAAACAGTTTTAGAAGCTTAGAAACATTTAATGCATTTGCACACATTTTCATGTTAAAATAATAAATTTAACGTGGTTTCTAGCTCTAATTGAAGCATCCAGTATTTATTCTGCAATAAGCAACCATTTTTACCTCAATAGGCTTTGAATGCAGATTAGCACCAAACAGAGCTTATCACCAAAACAGATTTTCTCTGGTCAAATCAGATTATTTTTTTTTTTTATTTTTTAAAATGCATTAAAACTGGTAATTCCTACCATGTTCAGGCTATCGATTCATCAACCAACAGCATGCACTATGATGCACCTAATTTGAGTTTTTGAACCACAAACACTTTTTCTATTTAGTCAAAGCTCTTCTTTCTTTCAAAGAACATTTCACCACCAGTTCTTAGAAAAAGCGAACGCAAATTTTGAATTGCTCAAAATCGGAGTCCGTGGGTCAGGCAAGCTGGAAAATTGAAACATTAGGAAATTTGTCCACATGTATTGATCCTGAAAAACCTGACAAACAATCGTTTTGAAAATGCCTCAAAATTGTTTGTTTAATTAAGACAAGGGGGGAAAAATCTGTTTATCACAACCAGTAGCATAAGATGACAGTTTTATTTAACTTGCTAATCTTGTTTGATAAGTTAAATATGATTTATTAACCATTTTAGTTATTAGACTAGTTTTCATAATTCATCAATTTGAGTCATTGTAGAAGGCCCGACACTACATTTTTCCTCATGTCATTCTTGGAGCTTGTTTCTGCAGTGGCTGCAGCGTTGTTCTTTTCTCAGGTCATCGTAGCTGTTTTGTTCTTGTTGTGGATCAGAGAATCACAACCTCTGCTCTCAACAGCAAACTTTGCAGTTTTAATCTTTTTTTTTTAAATTAATATTTTTTTTCTTGCTTTTGTTTTGGTCAGCAAGCGGAACCTCAGCTCCAGTTTCCCAGAAGTGCTGAGAAGAGGAAGTTGACTGTATTTAGCAGAATCACAACGAAAGAGGTATTTATACATCTCTTGGTTGTTTCTGAAAACTGAGTTCACACTTTACTGAATGTTTATATTTATGAAACCCTGAAGCTATTTCAGTCAAGAATGAATGATTTTGCATTATAATATTGAACAATTGAAATAATAAAATAGAAGGAAATGATTAATAAATCATATTAGCCAAGCTAACAATTTCTGTTTTTTTTTCTTTTTTCTTTTTCTTTTCAGGGTTTTTCAAGGCACTGTTGTGGGGCAGTGATGTGATCCCATCATAGAATATGTATTTTGTTTTCTTCTTCTGCACAAGTCGGTCATGAATTCATGTGCTCACACCAGGAAATGGGTCGACCCGCAGCACATTTGGTGCGTATAACACTGCCAGCTTTAAAAGGAAACCATAACTGCAGATGGCAGTTTGATCCAGTGGGTGTTCACCATATGCAAAGTTCTGAGTCCGGGTGAAAACAAGTTGTTTTTTATAGATATCGAGGTCAATCTCCATATATCAGCTGCAAAGGCAATCTATATATATTTACAGAGACATAGAGAAGATATCTGTTGATATATCTGAAACATGTGAGAAGAATCCAAGGCAAAATAAAACAAAAGTTTTCGAGGTGTAAACATGCTTGCTGACAAAGTTTTTCCATGCATCTTTGGTTCATCCTTTTTGGATGAAGTTAGCATTTCTGCCATCATGTGACCAAAGTAAACTTTGGTCCATTTCTAACCTCTTGCCACGAACTGAGTCATTCTTATCTGGGTCATTTATACATTTCCAGAAATTACTCTCTTTTTGCAGCAGGTTAAATCTGTCCTGTTCGCAACCCGACAGATATAAACAAAGCAGTGTTTTGCATCTTAGTGCACAATTGCAGTCCCTTCCTAAAGCATCCTTAAACTCTTTTGGTTTTTGTCAAAGAGCAACATCAAATGTTCATGCAATAGTCTCAACATAAAGAAGCTTTCAACCTTGACGTTGCATTTCAGAAAAAAATGTTAGACGTGTTTTTAAAGCGTGGCTGCATTAGGATTCAGAGCCCTTACATTTCACTGCAGCAATTGTCTTAAGAAATCACATAGCACGACAAAAAAGTCACCAAGTTGTAAAGAAGTATATTTCCATTACAACACAGCTTGAGAAAATAAGAGAGAAATTCTCATCTACCTAAACATAGAAAACAAGCTAGTCGAGCTATTCGGAAAAGGAACCTAAGGGCCTGTGGTAACTCTGGAGGAGCTGCAGAGCTTCACAGCTCAGAATGTGTTGAAAATATGAAGTTATCTGCTGTAAATATTGCCATTATGGAAGAAAGAAAGAAATAAGCATTAATAAAAGAAAAAAGTTACAGTTTACAACAACTCAGGCGAACATATGAGAGAATGTGCTCCAGGCAATCGGGGCAAAAGTTGAACTTTTTGACTTAATGCAGCATCATGACACCATCACTTTGTGGAGAAGCTTTGCTTTAGCAGAATCTAATAATGTTGGTTAGAGTTGATGGGAAAATAGCTGGAGCTAAATTCCATGCAATTCTGCAAGAAAACCTGAGGCTGCAGAAGGTCTTGACTGTGATGGAGGTTCAACTTCCCGCAGGAAATTGGAGCATATTTATTTGTTGGAACGGCCTTGTCAAAGTCCACAACTAAACTTAAACCAAACTTAACTTATTTTGTGAAAAAACATGGGTAAGAATTATTGCATATTTTTGCATGTAATTGCATTGAATGGGGCCTAAATACTCCACACTTTTCAGATTTTTATTTGCATCATGTATCATTTTTTTATTACACTCTATGTTATAGTCTACGACATAAAACTTACAAACCCCCGCATTTGTAAAGCGACAAATGCGGGGAAAAAATACCCTTTTTCTTATTTTGTTTCTTCAGGTGAAATTGAGCAAAGAGTAAAGTCTTGTGCATAAACGCAGCCTCATTTTGCATAAACAGTTCTGCAGCAGGGAGCACAACGATTATTTTGAGCAAGATAATTGAAATTTCCATACTGCACACTGTGCCAGTAGTTGACATTTGAATGAGGAAAACAGCATGGCTGTCTGTCGAACTAAACGAAACATAATCAGCAAGATTTGCATGAGTTTCTATTTCCAGCACGAGCCCCTTACCCCCATCACCACATAAACACACACACACACATACACAACTCCACCTAGGGTTTCCTTGAACCGCCGTTGTCAAAAGGGCCCTCCGCCTCCTCCACTCATGCAGAGGAAGTGCAAAAACAGCCATCATAAAGCGGGACTATTTCTGCTTGTCGCTTCAGTGTCTGGGTGCTGCTGACATTACTTCCCATGTTTCACAATACACAGAGTCATCCCACAAACACACACACATGCACACACACACAAACACACACACACATGCACACACAGCAGCCCAACATCATCACATGATCCCAACAACCACAAAACAATGAAGGCTGTATGCTGTTCCACAGAGCATATACATGCAGGTACACTCTTAACTCCACAGGAGTTGCTTCCATGAGCATTTACTCTTCTGTTGCTACAAACAGTGTGGGTGGATCAGTGAGGTGGCAGATGCTGAAGCGAGGAAGACAACGTGAAGAAGACTGGAATTACAATAAGCATGTCCAAGTCGGCGTGTGTATGAGTGCGTGGGACTTAGACCAGCACACAGACGCAAGGTGAAACAGCGCAGCCTCCCCTTCCCTTCCACGTCCCAACAGAGGACAAAGACAAGAGTCTGTACTTACAAATCTCTTCAGCTTCTTCTCCGGGGGGGATTTAATGAGCCAGCCGGTGCACACCACATCCCCGGCACTCATCTTGACTGCAGAGTGTGTCGTTCTCACGGCTGATCCACCGCCGCCTCTGCCTCTGCTGCCTCTGCTGCTGCTGCTGTGAAACTGAGAGCAATGTGAAGCATATCCTGTGTTCTGGTAGTCAGCCCAGCCACTCCAAAAAGGAGGAAGTAAAGAAACTGATCATACTGACCGAGAGAGAGAGAGAGAGAGACAGACGCAGTTACAGAGGAGAGGGGGGGAGGGCGTCGGTGGATGGCAGAGAGGGTGTTGATGGTGAGAAATATCCTGCAGATACAAAAGGTTTGACAGATTTAAAGACGGGTAATGTGTGTTATGTGGATGCTACATCGTATTTCAAGACAGTGCCTTGCAGAAGGATTCGCACTCCCTGAACTCTTATCACATTTTCTCACATTACAACCAATCCAAATAGAGCCTAATTTAGATTTATTTTTTTAAACAAATAAAATATGATTGTAACAGTGTATGTGTGCTTCTAAAGAATCTACAGAAGAGTGGTTATTTGCCATTGAATTAGAAGACACAGCAAACATGTGGTCAGACCAGACCAAAACTGAACTTTCTGGCCTACATGCAAAATGCTGCATGTTCTGGAAAAAAAAAAAGCATAACTTCTCATATTAATACTTGTGCAAGTTGCAAACATGTCTCACAGAAAACTAGGTACATGATTGTGGTCTTACAGCTGCTTTGTTGTTTTGACTCATTTTCTGCCAGTGCTTTAGCCCCTGTTTAAGCAAATCGCCATATTTTCAAAACTAACGTATCGCGTTGTTATGCAAAGGAGTGATAAGAGAGGTTGCAAAATCAATATGCCAGCACCTGTTTGAGGTTCTTTGGAAATGGTTTACATGAATCCTGGAGCCTTTTACATTTTCTATTGTTTTTTTGATTATTCTTTCTATGTAATGTAAAATCATTAGTCTCCCCACCTACAAAGTCTGTTAGGATTCAGTAAGATATGGCAAATTATTTTACAAGCTTGCCCATTTTTGCAAATGTCAGACAAGTTCACTATAAATACTGTCAATGTCAGGGTGAATCTACTACATGAACTATCCTCCTATCATTGGTGTTTTGTGTATTTGTTTCAGCTGCTGCTGTTGGTGGATGAATCAGTCAATTTGCTGATTAATATTGGGATTGTTCTGACTTATTTTCCATAGACTCTTAGAGCAGAAGTATTTGGCATCTGTATTTTGAAAATGTCCTCCTTTTTATACAGTTTGTCTTGGGTTTTGGAGAAAGACCCGTCAAGATGTATGCTAACATCGGAAATGATTGTTGTTCCTAAAACCTTGATTTGTGTTTTTGCATGTTCTTTTTTTCCCCCCTATATCTTTTCTCCTGTTTCTTGTGGCATTTATTTGCCTTTTTTATTAAAATGCTGCTGATTTAACTGTGTCCAATCGCCTCATAAAGCCACTGGCTGAAAAAAAAAAAAACAGGGGAACTCCGTATCAGCTGCTGATTGTCAACACTGCAATGAAGCTCAAAGAGTAATTTTCACATTATTTGCCTCATATCGTCTTGTGGCCTAGACTTGAATTGGATCTCGCTGTGAGTCTTCTCCAGTGAAGTCATCAGAGCTTCAAACTTCTTAGACTTCTTTCATCATACCGACCAGGAACGCTTACCTTCTTCTATCCAAGATGTCGGTTCCATTTATATTTCTCCTGGACGTCTGCCTTCAGATCCGTAGCAATGCTCACTTCCACATTGGCTTATCACCACAACTGCCATGAAATCCTCTGCTGCTTCCCCAGAAATAGTAACAATACAAAAACAAAACACTAACCTCAATCTCTCTTTTTTTTTTCCTCCCTTGCAGCTATACTGTTCGAACAACTGGTTTTGTCAACACAGTCACACAAAGACATGTCTGATATTGAACATTTGCTTTGCTTTATGTCTATATTCTAATTCTTCATTTGGGTTAAGCTCCATTTTCAAATTAAGACACTTGCCGCCTTTCCACTGATCTCCAGCTTGCTCTTTATTCCCCTTCTTCGAAAGCCGCCATGTATCTCACCGTCAGCATCAGCTTGAGTTGTGTCTTTAACTTTCCTCCTTTCAGCTGGAGTTGCAACATCTTTTGCTGTTATCTACACCATGTGTGGTTTGTTGACCAATAACTGCTTGTCTGGCTTAGAACTTTGTGAAAACTTGCAGCAGGTTGAAATATCTATGTTGATATTCATGTTAAGATTAGCCTCATGTTTTTTTTCTAACCAGTAATTGGTTTTTATTTAGTTTATTTTTTGTACCTTTTTTTTGGACATTTGATGTTACCCAATATGATAAATAATGAAATACACATTTAAAACTTAACTGCAGGATTATTGAACATATAATTATCCTGATAATATGGTCTCAAGCTTTCTGTTAGGAAATCGAAAAACAGAAAAAATGCAACATAAATAATGATAGATTTGTCTCTGAATTCCATATTTTAACGTTAATGAGTTTTCTTTGAGAATTTCCCTCTGACCAGCTTTGCTGACCCTGCTAAAGAATTCCCACAGTATGATGCTGCCCCCACTATGTTTAACAGTAGGGTTGATGGTGTGATCTTTCTTTTCTTTCTTTTTTTTCAGTTTGTACCTGTCCTGTTTTATGAAAGAAACAAAATCACACAGTGATGGAAGTGCTGTATATCTCTGTATAATAGCCATTATGGAGGATGATCAGCAGATCTGCTGATCTTCACTCCCTCCAGGACATGGTACAGGCAGCACAGTTGAACTTATTCATTAATGTAATCTGTTTGCAATTTTACAAAAATTATCACATGTCTGAATAATTGTTTTCTCACTTATTTACATGTTTTTTGTGGTGCTTTTGGTCTGCGATGTTCTTTGAACATATCATAAGAAAGGTAACATTCTCTTCCTCTTTGTATATATACACTATAAAAATAGACTGCATGCA